GTACTGCTTAGCAATGTTTCAGTTAATGATGGACCACAGACCATACGGCCTACGTGTGTAGGAGGCTATACCATCTAGGATTGTGCAAGTACAGTCTGTGATGTTTGCACAACAATGAAATCACCTAACAACGCATTTCTCAGAATGGGTCCCTGTCTTCAAGTAATTAGACTGTAATTAGGCTCCTAGACTTAAAACCATTCTGTTCTTTTTTTAAAAGCACCATTATAATTCGCACATACACAATTTTATGTGTGTTTACTTAATGTCTGCTTCCAGAATATATGTTCTATGAAGGGCAGGGAAAACAGCACTGGGAGACTGAAGGTCAGTTACGGGAAGGAGCGTTAATTTTACTTAATTTTACCATGCAGCCTTCTGTCCTGTGTGCATTCTTTATCACAAACATATTTTGTCTCAATTTTAAACAGCCTTGTTAAGCAGGTATTTTTTTCATTGTGAAGTAAGAAAAGGCTTTATAAAGCAAGGGAACAGATCTGACTGCAAAAATGTAGAGACACTAGAAACAAAAGACAATAGGCTAAGAGGAAATGCAATATAAAAAAAGGATTAGTACGCATCATACACAGAAAGCTTCCACAAATCAGTAAGAAACAAAAATGAGGGGGGTTATGGCTTATTATTTTATGTAGAAAATAATCATTTTAACAGTTCAGAAAAGGAACCACAAGGAAAAGCGTGAGACTCATGGAGGGGTGGGAAGAATGGAAAGCAGCATCCAGCATTTCTGAGAAGAAAGTCTACCGTCCTGTTTTCTGTGTCTTTGCTGAATTTACTACTTATCCAAGCACAACTGATCACTGTGTGGGGTATTCCACCATCTCTCTGTACAAACAATAATGCTGAATATCCAAAATTCCACCACTGCAAAAACCTCATATGCAACAAACTGTAAAGAGTCCCTCTATGGTTACCATCTGTATTAGTCCATTTCTGTTGCTTGTAACAAAACACCTGGAACTGGGTAATTTATAAAGAAAATGAAATTTACTGCTTACAGTTTCAGAGGCTGGGAAGTCCTAAGTCCAGGGAACACATCTGGTGAGGTGACCCTACAGCAATGCAGGGTGTCACATGGCAAGAACGGTGGAGCAGAGAGAGACACTCACATGCTCTCCTTTTAAAACCCTCAGAACGACGTCCCTGACCACCGTTATTAATCCATTCCCTAAGGCACAGTCCTACAATCTAATCACCTCTTCAAGGCCACACCCTTCAATACCATAATAGGATTTCCCACCCTCAACAGTCACAGTGGAAATTTAGCTTCTAATATATGAACTTTGGGGGACATAATTCAATCAATCCACAGCATTCTGCCCATGGCTCCCAAAATTCATGTCCTTCTCATAGGTAAATACAGTCATTCCATCCCCAAAGACTTATTTCAGCTCAAAAATCCGAAGTCTCAAAGTCTCATCTGTGAAGTCACAGCAAGTTATCTATTGTCAAGATACAATGGTGGGACAAGCATAGGGCACATATTCCCATTCAAAAAGGGAGAAATAGGGCAAAAGGAAGGGGTAACAGGTCTTAAGCAAGTCTGAAACCCAGCAGGGCAGGCATTAAATCTCAAAGCTATAGAATCATGTACCTTGACACCACCTTTGACACCCTCTGCACACTGCTGTGGGGGTTGGGTCCCCAAGTCTTTGGGCAGCTCTGCTGCTATGGCTTTCTTGGTCTCAGGCCACACTCCAGGTCTCCCAGGCAGGTGTTGCATGCTGGTAGCTCCACTAGCTTTGGGACAAGCATAGGGCACATATTCCCATTCAAAAAGGGAGAAATAGGGCAAAAGGAAGGGGTAACAGGTCTTAAGCAAGTCTGAAACCTAGCAGGGCAGGCATTAAATCTCAAAGCTATCGAATCATGTACCTTGACACCATGTTTGACACCCTCTGCACACTGCTGTGGGGGTTGGGTCCCCAAGTCTTTGGGCAGCTCTGCTGCTATGGCTTTCTTGGTCTCAGGCCACACTCCAGGTCTCCCAGGCAGGTGTTGCATGCTGGTAGCTCCACTAGCTATTCTAATTAGCTATAGCTAATTCTGGGGTCTCCATGGTGATCCTGCTCTCACATCTCCACTAGGCAAGGCATTGTTGGGATTTCTATGCTGCAACTGACCCCATGTTTCTGCTTGTCATTGCTCTAGTGAAAGCGGTCTGTGGTGATTCTGCCCCTGCAATAGATCTCTTCCTGGGTCCCCAGGTTTTCATACATCCTTTGAAATCAGGGTGGAGGCTCCCAAGGCTTCCCAGCTCTGGCATTCTGCAAGCCTCCAGACCTAACACCACATGGATGCCACCAAGGCTTCCGGTTTGTATCTTCCAAAGCTGTGTGTCCAGCCACACTTGGGCCAATTTAGCCACAGCTAGAGCAGCCAAAGCAGCAGGAGTGCAGGAAGCAGCTTCCCGAGGTGGCCCTGGGGAGCAAGACTGTGGAGGGTGCCTCAGGCGTGATCCCCAAGACCAGTTCTGTCACCCTAGGCCTCTGGGCCTGAAATGGAAGACACAGCTCCAAGATCTCTGAAATGCCTTCAAGGTCTTTTTCCCCTTCTCTTCATAACCCCTTTCTTCTGTACTCTTCTCCTTAGCAAATGGTCACTGGGCTTCACCACTGCATTTTTCTCCTGAAAATGCTCTCTGCTTCTCCGCCATGTGGCCTGGCTGAAAGTGGGTCAAATTCCCTGGGTCAGCACCTTTAATTTCCACATTCCATAAAGCTGTTGGGCATGAACAGAATGCAGCCAAGTTCCCTGCCAATTCATAGCAAGGGTGATCTTTGCCCCAGTTTCGAATAAGTCCCTTTCATTTACACCTGAGACCTCCTTAGAATGGTCTTTACAGTCCATACTTCCATAAGCATTCCGGTCACCCCCATTTAACCAGTCTTTAACACATTCCAAACTTTCCCTGGTTTTCTTATCTTCTAAACTTACACCAGCATCTAAGCTTTTTGAGCCTGCTCCTCCAAATTCCTCTGGCCTCTCAACAGCCAGTTCCAAAGCCATTTCCACATTTCAAGTATTTGTTATAAGAAACACCCCACTTCTCTGGTACCAATTTTCTGTATTAGTCCTTTTCTGTTGCTTATAACAAAATACCTGGAACTGAGTGATTTGTAAGAAAATGAAATCTATTGCTTACAGTTTTGGAGGCTGAGAAGTTCAAAGTTCAGGGAACACATCTGGAGAGGTGATCCTACAGCAATGCAGGGTGTCACATGGTGAGAATGGCAGGACAGAGAGAGAGAGAGAGAGACCCCCAAGTGCTTTCCTTTTAAAGCCCTCAGAACTATGCCCCTGACCACCTTATTAATCCACTCATTATGGCTGGTCCTACCATCTAATCGTAGCTTTGGATGGTCTATGGCCTTCTGGTGCCTACACCACCACAAGTGCCCTTAACCTTCAACAGCCAAGTGTGCGTGTGTGTATGTGTGTGTGTGTGCATGGGTACACGTGCATGTGACTGGATTTGGCAGGAGACGACAGAAAATATTGACAAGGTTTTAATCACATTTAATCATAATATCTTACGTAGCTATTTACCATGACAGTTACCTAAGGGCTAGATTAGAACGCCAAATGTATCTTTCTGATAAATTAATATAGAAAGAGTATTGGTTTTCTGTTTGTTGTACCTGTGCCTCTGGTCTTACAATTCCTATGATTCAACTCTTTGAGGGACAATAAGTCATAACTAATATTCACCTCTCCCTGGCCCACACATAGTAGCAATGTTTGGGTAAACAAGTTAAAGACGAAGTCCAACTCTAAACACATACATCACACATATGGCTCTTCCTGGTTCAAGAGAACACCAGGCCACCTGTGGGTGTTCTGATGACTGTGACACTCTATAACCACCACCAGTTGTTTCTTTTTTTCCCAAACACATTTCCATAATATCCAAGAGATAATGAAATATTCTGCCTTCTTGACTTCTTTGATGCTTTTCCTTTAGACTCGACAGGACCAATGTTTGAAATCAAAATAAGCTGATTTGCCAGGGCATGAGCCACACCACACACTGTTGAACTGTTTGTAAATGGATTTGTTTTTATTGTTTAAAACATCAATTTGGTACAACTATATGACGGAAAGCAATTACCGACTATGCAGGAACCATAAAATTTGATTTATTCAATGTATTTGCAAGTGCGTGATATCAAGCACCAATACTTTCACTACAGTAGTTTCTATCAATAGCAGGACGTGAGGAAAAGACCTGGGGTCTCAGTGGACCAAAAGCTTCATGAGTCATTGCTGTAATGGGGCTTCCAAAACTCTTATTCTGACCCTGGCTGCATGAACAGAAATGCATAGTCCAGGATACAGTACCCTGGTCACACCCCACTTGTATAGAGTGCTGGGCATCATGACTGAACAATGGCCCTGCCAAGCTGTATTATGTCTGGAAAGTTACAAGGATGGTGAAGGTACTCAAAACCATGTCACATAAAAAAGGATGAGAAAACCAAGACCACTTTCAAGGAGCTTAAGAAAATACATAAAAGTGCCTGAATTACACTCTAAGTGCAACCAATTCCAGGTAGGGTGGAGGTGAGAAGCAAATGGAAAAACTATGGCAAGGGGTACCCGAATCAATTCTCAATGCTGAAAAAAATGAGGTGAAAATGTGCCAGTATGCAGTTAATGTGTCCCATATAGAGTCCAAACTAGGTAACCGAAGCTATAGACAGGCTTTTACTTTCACACTTATAAACTTAATTAACCAAAATTTCATTTTTTTTGTTCTACTTAGTCCTAACGTTAGAGATCCTAACAGGCCATTTTTAAAATAAGCTTCAGTGCAACGTTTAATCAAATAAATAAATTTCCTTGGTCATTAAATTATTCAAGATGGATAATTCCTAAATACAATATTAACAAAGTATGTTCACATTTCTGTATCTTCCTGCTGTCCACATCTCATTCTATGTTCTAGACACCTCCAGCAATAAAGACAACACAGAAAGTCCTATTTACAGTAAACTTTATTTTCATTGATATTTCATTTAACATAATTTCAAAGTAGGTCTGAGCTCTAAGATAAGCAAAAGAACAGACATCCTAAATCTCATAAAGAGACTTTTTCATACTGTTCTCCAAACAGGGCATGGGATCTCAGGGTCCCCAACATTGAGACCTAACCCTGAGATTTCATAGATACAGAAGGAAGAGATGACATCAACATACAAGAACCAAACTGTATGAAGGTATCAATAAGCTCTGGTGTTACACACTCGCCACCTCTGTAGGGCTGGAATGGTAACGACTCATTTTTTCCTCTATCAAGTTCAGTGCTGTTTTTTGTTTTTAAAGTAAAATGTCAGAACATGTAGAAATGCTGCACCTACTCTCTGAATACATTGAAAATAGTGGAAGTTTGGAGATTTTTAATTCTTCTTGAGTCCGAGCTGGGACATGATTACTACTGATGGGGTCTATTCAACACACTAATTCCAACTCTGGCAACCATCAGCAAACTGTTCAAAAAAACAAACAAGCAAAAAACATCAGTAAAAGAATAGAACAGGCAACTATTTTGACTCTGCAGGTGCCTCCCAACAGCATAGGGAGGAAAGTACCACGGCAGAGCAGTCAGAGATAAAACTTCCATGTCTGGAGGAACCAAAGAAAAACATGCCAAGGGGCAGACTTATATTGAGGTCTCAAAACAGCACACGGGAGCTAGAGTTCTTAATCCAACTGCCAATATTTGAAGAGGTGACAAAATTGAAGGTGACAGAGATCAAGGCCTACCCATGGTCACAGAGCTAAATAATGGTAGATCTCCAGCCTCCCAGTTTACTGCTCTTGACCTGGGTCTACAGTGACTCTTTTACTTCAAGTATAAATCATATGCTTGATAGTATCGTAACTACAACCAAACTAAAGTGTGTCATCTTTTTCTGAAACAAATTTTTAAAAATTCTCCTGCCTTCAGGATGCCTTTATTATACTTAAGGACTAAATTAAAAAACACACTTTTGGCTTGGGTTTTAGAATTAAAGTTAATTAGAAAACAGGATTCAATCAAAGTTCCCTTTTAGCAAAATTTTCAGTAACAAAGAAGACTTATACGACTAAGAAATACAGAACCCACCCTGAAAGTCACCCAAAGAGCTGTGTTCACGTCCTTGCACTGAAGCTTCTGTCACTGTAAGGAGGAGCCATGATGGCCCAGGGAGCACATATGAGAACAAAATCATTTCCTCAGTGAATGAATATGCCAATTTACACTAAATCAGCTACTTTTGCAGACTCTCCTATTTGTGTGTAAATTAAATAATTTCACTTGATGCTTTCACCATCATGTATATGAAACCAAGTAAATTTCTGAATGTAAGATGCTCCTCAACTCATGATGGAGTTACGTCTGGATAAGTCCATCACAATTTGAAAAAACTAAGTTGAAAGTGCATTTGCAATGTACCATCGGAAGTCAAGGACCTTCTATATAAAGTATCTTGGGCAATAAACTAAACTCCACACTGGTATAAAAGTGTAATAGAATGGAAGGTACCTGGCTTCTGCAGTTAAATCTGCAGGCATAAATTTTCCAGAGTGGTAGAATCTCATTCCCATAATGCCAGCCAAGGTCCCAGATGTAACTGATAAAAAAGACAAAGAGAAGGGTCAAAAAACATTACATCTTATATGCAGGGGACCCACCTATTTTTCAAGGCCTAGATACCTACGCAGTATTTATTTCTTGTTCCCCACATGGTGGAGCTTCACGGCTGCCCACATCCTTTGGGTCTAAGGACAAACACTGGCCAACTAGGGCCCTTCACAGTCTGGGCCCAGCCTTTCTGGTCTCATCTCTCACTACTTTTCTGCAATACCTACACTTCAGTCATAAATATCAACAGTTTTGTCCAAAATGCTGTAGGATTTTTTTCATGCCTTGCAGATACTATTTCCTCCATCCTGCATTCTCTTCCCACTGGACATCTGTCAAAACACCAACTACAGCTCTGCACTAGGCACTGGAGAACACAACCGTAGTCAAATATAGTCTCAGCCTTTTCACAGTGTTTCAAGTCTGAGGGGTTAGACTGTAAAGAATCACACAAATAAAGACAAAGTGTAATTTGTGCTACAGGTACAATTAATGCTACACAAATAATATAATAGGGGAACAGACCTATTCAGGGACCTCAGGCAAGGATTAGCAAAGAAGGGAAGACTGAGCTGAGATCTGAAATCAGAGCAGGAGTTGATGAGCTGAGGGGAAAGCACAATCCAGGCAGAGGAGCAGCAGGTGCAGAGGCCCTGCGGTGAGAGGGAGCAGAGGCACACATTCAAGGCACTAAAGGCCCGCGGTGGCACAGGAATCAAGACACGGCTGGAACAAGACATGGCCAGACCACACACCGCCTTAACGGCCATACTGAGGACAGTGGTCTTCATTGTAAAAGCAATGAGAAGCTATTAAAAGCTTTTAAGCAGAGGAATATGTGAACAGAGCTGCATTCTAAAAGCAGAATTCCAGCTGTGTCACAGAGAACCAACTGCAGGGACAGCGATGAAGGCCCTTCCTCACCAACGCAGGCAAGAAAGAGGGAGAACTGGGACTAGGAAGTGGCTGCAGAGACGGAGAAGGGGACAGCGCAGGACGGTGGTAGAGGAAGCACTCGATGGGACCTGCTGATGACTTAGTCATACAGGTGGGGGAAGAGCAATCAGAACCTGAGCGGATGGAGGACAGAAGATGGGGTGTGCGAGACCACGAGGCCAGGTCTAGGCCGAGGCCTGGAGGTTTCTGAAGGACTCAGCCAGGCGGCTGTACTCATGAGAGTGCAGACTGG